GTGTTATGCATGCATGAATTGAGTTTAAACTCAAAATTTCTGATAGAAAGAAATCTTTTCCCTTCTTTTTTGACAACCCGATTTGATCAGTCAGGCCCAACTGACTTCGTCCTCCACCGACCGTGGAAAGCACCGAAAAAAGGATTTAAAACTTCCTTAATTTTAATCTCAAGCGTAACCGGAGTCGGCGTAAAATTTTTGCCGTGGATGAAAAGATAAACTTCAAGCTTTATACGACGACTAACTTCTGGTCCTTTATTTCCTTGCAATTTTCCATGAGTATGTTGAATGAAAATATATTCGTGTTATTGATATCTCAGCCAGTGAAAGGCAAAACGGTTTATTACATTAGTTATCGGTAGAGTTCCGAGTTGTATAGTTCCCGCGTAGAGCTGCCATAGATCGGGAACCGTGGTTTACAAGTACAATAGAACATAGGTTTAGCAACTCTATTGACCAATGAGGGCGTGCGTTGTATCTCAGTTATTTTAGAACTATCGATAGACATGAGTAATATCGCAGTTATACTGAAATAAACTCCAATGATCATTCATCAGATGCCTTTATATCTTTCTGTGTAGTTCAAATAAATTATATGGCCCTTCATTATATTCACTTGCGAAGACGATTGTTTTTCTAATGTTCGTTAGAAGTACTCATATAAGAGCTGCGAAAAGCGCTTGCGCAGTGCATGAACTAGCATTTTAGTTGAAATAAAAATGCTCCTGCGAGGCAAGATATAAAGTGATTAATTTTAATGATCTCGATTCGGCGCCATTGTTTGATGGAATATTGGAAAGGTCTGTCAAGCAAGCCTGATAGTTATTTCTGAGCTCGTTCATTGAATGCAAATTTATCTTATTATTGTCTTTTTTTGTGCTTTATTATGGTCAATAAAGATGAGCGCTTTACAACCGCTTCTTTGACATGCATTCTAAACTGGCTATAAAGACAAGAAAACAAAAACAGCAACAAGCAAAGCTCGTTCAGCTTGCAGACGTCTTCGGCCTCCTGCCATTTTCTGCTTCTGTGCTGTAATGCAAAGACAGGCTCATTTGAATCTAAACCAAGCCCAAGCTAAAAGCTAATAACAATAAACTGAGAAGCCATATAACTAGCGCATGTACACATGTCAAAAATCTTCAATTGAAATTTCCTATTTGAAATTTGTAGCTATAGCTACACGAACAGTAAGATACATTTGTCAACTGACTAAAGGCCACTATGGTCTGTTGTTAGGTGAACGTTTCGAGTTGGGAATTACACAAAAGGGCAAATCTCTCTAATGAGTGGTGCAAATTTAGTAATAGTTTATTATCCGTCTTAGCACACATACCAATCCTTGATTACGATTTTTAATTAAAGAATTAAGACGTATTGACAAAGGTGAGCACTATGTTGGAAATAAGAGAAAAACTAAATTTCACATAATTGAAAAAAAAAAAAACAACAACAACAACAACAAAACAAAACAAAACAAAACAAAACCACCAACAACAAAAAGTAAGTTAAGGTGTTTGCATTACAAACCCTGGCTGACTGTTCAGGACTGGGTACAGTGTTTGCAACTCTTAGGACAGTGTAACGTTAGGTAGTTTTTATACCACCTATTTGCGCAGTTGCCATCCGAAAACCATTGTCCACAGTGCGGCAAGTTATCCTCGCAGACCCCGTCTATGGGCTCAACTGGAAATATAAACCTTTGCTTAATATACTATAAATATGCCCCTCATGTAGGAAATAAGTAATTAAGAAACATAGGGGACCAGTATTCTCATGGATAAAACCACGACTTGCATTCATGATCTTTTATTTCAAACGTGGTAGTAAATGCATTAAAAACTTTGATAAACAATCATCAAATTCAGGGATAGTTTTTTTTTAATTGGGGGTGGGGGG